ATATGCATTTGTTGTTAAGGCTTGGTCATGTGCGGCCAGAATTAGCCCCTCTGCCTCTTTCTTCAACTTTCCTGCTCTTAGCCATTGCCAGGTATTGTTGTTATCTGCTTTGCCTGCTAGTTTTTTTGTGTACTGGCCATGTAATACGATGATGATGATGATGATGATGATGATGATCCTCCCTAAAGCCACCATCCTCCTTCAAACATTCATCAGTGAGTCAAAATCTCTGGGCACTCAGTGTCTTAAGGCAGCATTTTCCAGAAGCTTTGTTTGCCCCCGCTTTTTCTTCCACAAAGAGCACTGACAGGAAGTCAGCCAACGGATGATGGTTTAGCTTGTCTTTGAGGAGCAGAGACAGCACCACAGCAGAGATAGGCACCCAGAAGCCAGTGCTGGATGCCGAACTTCCTCCAGATAAAGGAGTAAGTATGAAATCAGCCCATCTGATCTCTGGTCGGTTGTTCCCCACTAGTGACCTGCAAAAACAGAAGCTTTTGCAGTTTGCTTGTGAGTTGAGCAGCTGGGAGACACATGATTCTATCTACCTTCACGGCTGTGGTGCAGCCTGCATGGACACAAGAACTGACTAATCCTCATTTCTTAACCACATTTGGGTATAGGTATTCTTTAGCCTGAGAGACATTTTCTTTTACAATAGGTAAGTACTTCTCTTGGTGATTTTTTCATTTTTTGGGTGGGATTATAAATTTATAAGAAGAATTAAAGACTTAAAGAATATTGGGCAGAAAGGTTAATAAAGAATGATATAAGAAAGAAAGTTAAAAATAGATGAAGGGGAAGGTTATTTTTGTAAAAAAGGTTAATTTTTCTATGAAACTACATTGTAAAAATCCTAGCTGAACTAAAACAATTGACTCAGATCTTCTGTGGGAATGCTGTTTGCTTTGCATTAAAGACTGACAATAATTGGCTGGATTTACAAAACAAGAGATTAAGGTAATTTGAGATGGAGTACTTGGTTGTAATCATGGAAACAATGATCTGATGTGTACCTGTAATTACAGCTATAAAGACGCTAGAGGGAGTGAAGTTTGTGTTTACCTTCTCTGCTGCTTAACACTTTCATTTAGGCAGCAAGACTGAAGGCTAGAAGAGGTTCCTCAGAACAGAGAAAGAAGAAAAAGAAGATAAAACAATTCCTTTAAGCTTACTTTAGTCAATGTTTGATGAATTGGGAACTAAACTGGCACAGTCATTTGAATCTAAATTTACAGTCTTTGAAAAAAAGATAGATGAAAGGCTTGATAAGATGGAAGGTTCTGTAAAACAAATGTCTGAAGTTTTAAAACAAGTCAATGATAAGTTGGAAATTTTAGAGAGTAAATCAGAAGTTAGGGATAGAGAAATGGAAAGAAAGATGGTGGCTTTCCTGGAACTCAAAGAGAAGGAAATCTTTTTTTGATTTAGAGCTATTCCAGAGAGTTCTAATGAAGATATTAGAAGAAAAATTATACAAGCATTGACAAGTTTCTTAAAGTGGGAAGAGGAGGATACCGAGCTAGAGATTGATAAGGTGTA